ATAATAATAATAAACCAAAATTACTTCGCCATAATTATAATAATGGTGAAAAATACAGAGCCAAAATTGAATACAAACCAGTAACGAAACACGCAGACGCATTCTACGTTACTAATTATGCAATTTATTGATAAACTTTCCACTGTTATTTAAATAAATAAAATAAATAAAACGGTAATCCTCAATAAAATAAAATTGATGTTATTAATAATATTCAAATAAATACAAATAATAATAGCTATAACTATTATTATCGTCATCATTTTAAAAGCAAGATATTCTTATATGCTTATTTTCGTGTAGAAAAAAAGGTTTTTAAAAATTTGAGACTTAAAATATATGTATTAATTATTATTTATATAAATCCTACACACACACGCGCGCGCACGCACGCAAACACACACAAACATAACGATATTTAACGATAATAACTGACCTACATGAGGAATTTTCAACTTAAACTATAAAAAAAATCTCTAAATGCAATGATAATAATAATAACATCATTAATAATAAGAACCAATGATAGCAATACCAGTATTGGATATTAATGAAAGTTTATAAAGATATATTTCATCCATTACGAAAGGATAGTTTATAACTGTATTATATGTGTAATTACATAACATTACTTTTATGATAGTATTACTACAGAAGTCAAAAAAAATCATTACATATGAAGAAACACATCGACACAAAAACACACACACACACAGGTATATAAATATATAGTATTGTATGAATTCTACCGAATTGTTGGCCTTAATCAATTTAAAGTTTGTCTTTTCAATTGATAATTGCCAACAATTCGGTAGAATTCATACAACACTGTATAAAATATGGCCTCCTTCCAACATATAACATATAAATATATGTATATACACACACACCACATATATATGTATATGTGTGTATTGCATACAGACACACCTTCATACTTATGCTTTTGAAAACATCAAAAAACAGAAAGAACATACAGATCTATAGAAAATTAAATCCATTTATTTATAACATTATTACATTCCTAACTATTATTACAATAATCCATTATTATTCATATCATTAATATTATCAACATCATCATCCTCATCAAAGGTGTCAACCAATCGAGTTAAAGGTTCCATTTGCATGTAAAATTAAGTTCAAACAATCAGATTAATTGTTCCATTCTCAAGTTAAAAAAGTTCTCGCCAATCAAACAAAAGCATTCAGATTTAAGTATACATCTTCGCCAAATCCAACAACATACAAAAGATTATTAATTATTGTGACGAAAACATTAAATGAAGTCATTTGGTAGAAACAAAAGCATTAAAAAAAGTCACCATCACCCACAATGCTATTGTGATCGTCAACAGTTACGACAATCACCATCATCATCAGCACTTGTATTGTCATGAAAACACCATCTTCATCTTTTCAACTTCTCAGTTACAGCCAACAATTTCAAGTTAACCACACACACACACACGCACACGCACCGTTAATAACAACGACAACAATAACACAAATACAACAGCAAAGTTAATAATAATAATAATAACCATCATCATCATTATCTCCAAAACTGGAAGGATAGCTCTTTTGGAAAACATAAAATAATAAGCCCATCTTAGCTAATAATAATAATAATAATAATAGAATTTATATCTATAATCAATAAAAATAATCATAATTATTGATTATTATAGTGGTAAATATTGAAAAATTGAATGACACAAATATTAATCGGCGTAACAACGTTCAGGTAAGATTTTACTAGCTTGGCATCGTAACATACACTCGCGCACATATGTTTATCATTCATTTATTTATTATTATTTATTTATTTATAGTTTATTCTATTATTCATAATTATTCATAATTATTAATCCTCCTCCTCCGAATCTTCATCAGCCTGCTCCAGCCATACAAGCCATTGGTTAACCTGAATCAAAACAAAATACTCCCGCTATTTATAACATTGTTTCTATTAAATAACATTTAAAGATCCACACACAGACATATAGACAGACACAGACAAATTTGACCCGACCTGAAAGAGGGCTTGACCTTTGCCAGGCTGAAGTTCATTGACCTCTTCCTTCCATTTGAGGAAAGCTTCTTCGTAGATTACCTCAAGGTCATACAGTGTACTGAACAGACGTAGCAGCAAGCCTGTGTACGTGTTTGTTTGTAAATGTATGTGCGTGTCTATGTATGTATGTATGTGTGTGTGTATCAAAGCATCAACCAACCTTTGGGATTATTCATAGAATGAGAGAAGACTTGCAGAGCGTAGATGGCGCTGACATGCAAATCAATCTTATCCAGTAGGAACTTCTGGAGAACCCCCTAGTTTTAATTCGTTCATTTATTCAATCAGTCAGTCAGTCAATCAAACAACCGATCAAAAATTTAATTCACCCAAGGATTCAATCAATCAACCAATCAATCAACCTTATATTTTTCGAGTAGTTGTTTCTCCTTCAAGACAGTTTGTTTGTCTGGAGCTACAGAAGTATCGAGACCCTCTTTCAATGTTGACTCCATAGTGATGAATTTTATCAATCTAATCCAAGTTTATCATAAAAAACATCTTAAAAGTACGCCAGACTTACTTGCACCAACAGCACAATCAACAACAACTAATAAACAGACAGATCTCCGCTAAACAATGATAAGGTCACCAGGAACAAACAGATGTATCACTTACGTAGTGACTAGCATTGAAACAAACATAGGATCTGAGTGTAATTTCTGATCAACGTTCTCTTTTAACCACTTGAAAAAAACAGCAGCGCTAGGACCAACGGCAGCCACGCCACTGCTGGCGACAGCAGCGTTATCTGCTCCACCACTAGCTGAAGTAGTCGTGCAGTTATCGCCATTCGTTAACTGTTTCCACATTTCACCCTGAACTCTTTGTAGTGGTAGCAAAAAACCAAGACCTCTATCTTCCAAGATTTCCATGAGTCTATCATTTTTCTCAAGTTCTATTGAGTTTTAAGGTTTGTTCGTTTGTACGTAACGTCCAACTAACTGCTGAACGTTAAAACAAAAGCAGTGCAAAACTAACCAGCAGGTAGCATAGATCTCAGGTTAATCTTGCTAGCATCAAATCGCCCAGCAAGCCATTGGCTGCTTTCCAACTTCACCAACTGCTGCAAGCAGAGCAAAAACATCGGATAATGATTCCCAGAGGCGAGGGGTCCGGCTATGTCGATTAGTGAAACCGAGTCACAGCAAACAGCCTGGGCAGCCAGTCTTGCAAGGTGTGATTTAGCAAGAGGAAGATCTTGCTCAAGTATGCTCAGGCGATCCAGTAAGATTTTGAATGACTGTGTGTGTATGTTTATTAATGTGTATGTTTGTGTGTATAAAAACGTGTGTGTGTGAAAATCATCATATCATTATTATCATTATTATAGCCATCATCACCTTCATGAACTGATCTGAAGTGAAGAGCTCCTTCTCGTGCAATGATTTAATCAGCCTACTCATGTTGTCTCTATCTTCGTCTGGTGATGGTGACAATGGCAGCAGTTATGACGACAACAAGGGGAATAACAAACAACGATAATTATTCACACATAGGCACGTATGCACATGAATGCAAACAAACGTCTTACTCACCAGTAAGCTCCAGCACTTGCAACATAAGATTAGTCAGTAAATCAGTCATTGACCTGAAAGGAGAATGATTGCAAATGATGAAGATGTGCATTGCAAATGATGAAGATGTGCATTGCAAATGATGAAGATGTGCATTGCAAATGATGAAGATGTGCATTGCAAATGATGATAATCATCATAGCATTGCAACAATGACCAAAGCAAAACCAAAAAAATTTGACAGCAATTGTAGTGATAAGATGATAAGAACATGATAAGACGACAGTCACATCATCAACAAAAGCATCATCAACTGAAAAGAAATAACAGCCCAGACTTGTTATTCCTATGTTGGTTCTGTATGAGGTTGACGGCCTCACTGAACTTCCCAGCATCCATCAAAGTTTTAACATCCATCTAGTTAGTGATATATGACATATACATTGTGACGATGATGATGGTGGGGGTGATGATGTAACGGTGAAACAACATCAACTAAGACAACAAAACCAACAACCCACCCAAGACTGTTTGCTTTCCTGCTGCTTTGTCATCTGCTTATTTTTGATCTTCGGTTCGGCAACCTTAACTTCAAGGCCACGCTGGTTAAACAAACTCGTTTGATTGGCTGGTCCAAGCGAGGACTGCCCTGCCATTGGTCTCCCTGATGACGATGGCGGTCCCATTGGAAGCTGCGAGTACATGTGAGATACATGGAAATACAGATGAATGAGTGATGGAATAATGATGAATTATTAATAACTGAAATAATGAACAAAGAACCGGATAGCAGCAAACAATTAACCTAACTCCAACCTACCATTGATTTATCCATAGGATCTCTGGGCATTCCACCAGTAGGATATTTCATCACATTGCCAGTAGCAGCAGCAGTAGGTGCTAATGCATTCATCGGCCTCAAACTAATCTCCTCATCATTGTGCCCTTTCTGGTTAGGCCTCATCAGATGCATTTGAGGGGCGCCACGACCAGCCCCATACCCTTCGAAACCTCTTGAGGGCATAACCATGTGAGGAGGATGAAAATTTGAAGGAGCCCCAGGAAGATGATAGGGTGGCATGTTAAAAGGAGGTGGCCTCATAAAATTAGGAGGATAGTTAGGTGGATAGTAGCCTGCTTGTGGCAGCAAGGGTGGCCTGGACCCCATTGACGCAGATGCCAGAGGATGAAATTGGGGCATCGGATTGTTGCTGCTGCTACTGGGTTTGTGTCGATGCTCGCCCTCCTCCAGTGATGTAGATGGTTTAACCTTGGCCAGGTTTCTATCCAAGAGAGAAGGTTTGTTCATCTCCGGATCTTGCTGCTGCTGCTTGCGAAATCTTGGAGGCAGCTCTCTGGCCGCTGATGACGAAGAGGTTCCTCCAGCTGTTCCTGAGATTGTCATTTATCAAAATCAAACTCGAAAAATAAATTTAAAAAATAAACGAAACACTGACCTTGCTGCTGTCCTCCACTACCACCTCCTCCTCTCTTCTCAACCTCTGCAAACTTGTTCCCCCCATAACCCATCCCAGCACCTCCAACTGCAGCCACAGCACCAAAAGATGGATTGCCACCATACTTATTGCTTGGTGGTGGTTGTGGTTGTTGTTTCCCCCCTCTGTCATCCTTCATCCCACCAGCGGGTCCGGCAGATCTGTATCCTCTGCCAGCAGTTCCACCTCCATTGTTGTTGTAGTGGAATCTGCCACCAGAAGATCCATCATCACTGTCGTTACTGGCCAGGGAAGCATTCAACTGGCCACTGTTCCTACCTGCACCGGTGCCCTCCTCAAATGAATTTTTCTGATGATAACCACCTGCCTGATAACTGCTACCCCCATCATCACCCCCTTTATGCCCAGGACCTCTACTACCTGAAAACCCTTGCTGTCCACCCCGGTGCCCTCCGTAACTACTACCCCCTCCCAGCCAATGACTCCCAGGGTTGTTAGTACCCATAACACCTCCAAATGGGTCATTGAAGAACTGAGGATTGGAAGGGGGCCCAGAGAAGAATGGGTCAGAGAGGAGGTAGGATGGACTCATGTTAGGATGCTGAGGCATTTTGTTGGTATTGAAGAGGCCACTCTCTTCTCTTACCTGCATTTATTTGTCAGAGCTAAATAATGTCAAAAATGAATAAAAAAAATGTTGAAAATAAAGTAGCCTGCTAATTTAGGTGCACCAGTTCAAGGAGGCATATAATAAAACTGAATGCTCTCCTGATTCTCCATGCATTCAGATCCAATTCCACTTGTACACACACACAATCGAATCACCTGTTGAATGGTCCTAGGAGCTCCCTCAGGAAGTACGGTCTTGCGAGGTTGCCACTTGTTAGCCCTCAACTCAATTATGTCCTGCAACATGAACCTGATTTGTGGAGTAGGATGATTAGTGAAGACACACAAACATGTACAAAACAGAAACACAGCTGAGGATGGTCACTAACTTGATCCTTGGAGGCAGTCCCGGCATATTCTGAAGTGTTTTGATCCTCTCAAAGTACTGATCCATCCAAGCCTGGGCCCTGTCGTGGTCCAATCTTTTCCCCACAGTACGTAGTATCTGGCAGAGGCATTCCAAGTCCTCTGGATTTGGGCAGACGTTGTTGTTGCCAGAATAAGTGGAAGCATCATTGTTGCTAGCTGGCCCCGGCAATGGCTGCAGTGATGTGCTTTGTTGTTGTTGTTGTTGTTTTCCAGTGTTATCAGATGCACTGTTCATCGCCTGCGAGCCCGATGATACTGATGATGTTGATGCGAAGTGATTGACATTAGTGGCTGAGTTTTGTTGCAATGAATGATGATATGATGGTGGTTGTTGGTGTGTTTTCCTTCCTTCAATGAATTGTTGGACAACATCCTGGCAATTTTCCCTCTTGTACCATCTCCAACTTTCCAAGTTCCCCAATGAATTTGATGTTGCCGAGCATTTTCGACTTTGCAATAAGGCTCTGCTCCATTTCTTCTGGGGTGAGAGGGCCGTCCCTTTCGAAAGCTACTCAGTGATTGGTTGATTAAATGATTGATTTGTTGATTAAGGAATGGTTAAGTTAAAGTGATCAGCTGAGAGATAGAAACTGATGTAAAAAAAGAAGAGAGATGGATAGGACATAAAAATGAGATGGGAGAAAATGTCAAGCTATAAACAACCTTCAGTTGCCTTAGACCTATTTTCGAATTCATCCTGGCACTTGTTTAACAATAATTTTGTGAATGTCTGCAGGTTGGTTGGTGTTAGTTTGGTAACTACATGAAAATGAAATGACAGGGCAAAAACACAAAAAATATCAAAAACACTTATTTTCTCTCTCTCTCTCCCACACACAGACACCCACACACACAGACACACACACACCCATACAAACTAACTTACAGTTACATTAGACTTAGGTGACTCAAAGTTAGGCGCATCCTCGCATAATCTCTGGCAGAGACGAGCGTACAGAGAACTGTACTTGGGCTCGTTCAAAGCCTTCTGTATTATCTGCGTTAACATCGAATAATCATTATTGTTACTGCAGCAATCATCACAGCATGTAATAAAAACTGCACATGATGACATCGACAACAAACCAGAAATATAATGCCTTTCAGTACAGTCTGAGAGTCTATCCCGACATTCAATAACTCCAAACTCAACTTATCAAATCGGTCCGGTGTTAGTTTATTGAGTATTCTGTCAATCAAATAATCAATCAGCCAGTTATTCAGTCAGTCAGGCAACCTATCAATCAATCAAACCAATTGATCCTTACCCTCTAACTTTCCTAAAAATATTATCATGGTGCTCAGAAGTAGTGTGATAATTATTTTGAGAATTCGACTGTTGTTGTTGTGAGGATCGATTAGTAATTAGGGAAGATGGGTGCCATATGTTGTTAGTACTATTATTGTTAGTGCTATTACTATTACTAGAATTATTTAATTGCTGTTGAAAGTGTGGTTGTTGCTGTTGTTGTGGGTGGTGTTGTTGTGGGTAGTTAATGTTCTTATTGTTACTAAGTTCATTATTGTTATCACTCGAAACAACAACAGCAGCTGATGATGATGATGAGGAGGTCACTGATGATGATGTTATATTCTGGGGTGGTCTCTCGTCCCTTTTGGGTTTGTGTGATTTTATGTATTCATCAAAAATAATTTCACTAAATCACTTATTTAATCTATTAACTCCTTAAGTTAGTAATATTTTCACTAATTAATTTTATTAATCCATCACTGCTATTATTTAGCCTACTTGACTACTACCATTAAAATTCACTTACTACACTAATTTAACTAATGGGTAATAATAAATATCCAAGACAACACTGACTTCACTAAATCTACACTAATTTCCCTAACTGACCTTCCTCCCGTACGTCGAGAAACAGCACCCAGTTTTGCGTTGCCGTCCAGTATTGAACTCAATTTGATATTAATTGCCTTTTTTCGTTTCTTTTATTAAAAAAAATAAAAAACAAGGTTGTGTATCTGTGGGGATGATAATGTGAAAATGGATTTAAAATCAATTCTAGATCGATATTTTAAAATCAAATAATTTTTTCATATTAAAAAGTAATATACAATTTGTTTTTAGCCATGTTAATTTTAGTTTAGAATAATAATTCAAAATCATTAATTCTCTTTGTGTGTTCACTAGTGTTCTGTGAGCCAGCGAGGCTACATAAAAATCGCAAAATTCTCAATTTAATTCGCTTTCTATGAATAAAACTAATTTTAAATCGAATAAATCAGACATCTTACCTTTAGTTTTGATCAGTTTTTTTGAGATTTTACCACTGGATTAAAAAATAAAAATTAAAATAAATAAAGTCAGAAAAATATTTTCTGCGTGAAACCGGAAGCCTTGTTTAATTGCGCAATGGTGATGGCAAGGTTATTTGGAACAAAAAAAGCTTAATTGTTTACCGCATAATTTGGTAATTATCAAACAGACAAATTCAAGGGGAGGCCTATTTACCAGCATACTACACCTTCTTATGGGTTGAAGCAGGGATATGCAAAGAACCTCAATTTTTTCAACTTTTAATTATTTTCAGTAATGTCTCCCCTTGCTCCAAACCAAATAACTAGAATAATAGGACTAATCGATCAATTCGATCTATCGGTCGGGCTATTTGTCGGGCTTGGATTGTTGGCTTACGAAATTGCATGGATTTTAACGAGCAAGCTAAATGAAATATTTACTTGGTTTAATATCCTTAAAACATTGTAGTAATTCTATTTAATTTTAATAGTGATTAATAGAATTATGTATTATTAAATTATTTTTGTTAATTTGAGTATAAAAATTGCTTTTGGTCCCGGTGAAATCCGGTGGCTTACTGAAGCCGAAGGTTGGCTTAGTAGGATTGAACTATAGTCACCCTTTTTTTTACACTATTCGATCATGTTAAAAATTGGTTTTCTTATGAAATAAACGGCCTAAATAAATCAAAATTGTTATTTGAACAACTATCTTTATTATATTCAATGAACACTTTACACTCTGCTGGTGCTCATAAGAAACTGGCTGCTGAAATCATATGTTGGCTTACAGCAGTGGCTTACAGGGTTTAATAGAACTCTTACGATAGCACTTTTTTGTGCATATAATGTATTAAATAAATCAATATATTCATATCACAATTGTTTTTGTCAGTATAAATATAGAAATTGCTTTTGTCAGGTGAAAAACAGTGGCTTACTGAAGCCGTAGGTTGGCTTAATCGGATTTTTTCTCATGTATACAATACTATGAGATAAATCAAACAATCAGTCAGCCAGCCAGTCTGTCAGTCAATCAATCAACCAACCGATCAATCAACCGATCAATCAATCAACTAAATTGAATGAACCGAATAAACAAAAATAAAAACAGAAATAAATAAAAAAAATTTGCGAGGCCTGTTCAAACTCGAACAAACAGTTAACCGTACAGATCAACAAACAATTTAGAGATTTTAGTAAAGAAAAAAAAACACAGTAGTTGCTTTTATTTGAATTCATTCAAAAATAAAAAGTGACAGTTAATTAAAATTTTAAAATGTCAATTTTTTTCAAATTCGTATTTTAAATAAACAAATATAACAAAATATCGACCGATAAAAATAATTATTATCCATTATTATTATTATCATACACACTCCTTAGAAGTTAATAAACCACGTAACATGAACATTTAGTAAGAACAGTTCACAACATATCATAATGACTAAATCAACATACTAAGCAGAAATAATTTATACATGCATATATACAAAGTAAATCAAGAAATATCGAAAAATTATATAACCAATTTAAAAAAAACTAGAAACCAGTCAACATTTAATGAATAAATAAATAGACATTATTAAAAAGATTGTTCAAAAAGGTACAATTTAAGGCGACGACGAGAATGAAATGTTGTTTGTTTTGTTGGTGTGGTGTTGTGAAGCGAAAACAAACACATTACAAAAAACTAGTAAGAAGTCGCAAGAATAATAGTCAGTCACCTACCTATAATAAAATTACTCTCAGGGCCCTAGCTTACTTATAAACATTGACTCAACTCACTTACCTACAAATTTGTATTTCTCGTTTTAGATGTTTCAAGTATTTTATTTAACATATTTTAGCGTTTTTATTTTACTTGAAGCTTTTTAACTAATGTTAAGCCCTAGCCTACCTACAATTGTTTAACTCATCTTAGTCCCTAACTTACCTATGAATTAAATTAAAGTCCGGTTCCCGGTAAAGAAAATATAAGTTAAAGAGAAACATAACAGAAACGACACCGAATGAATGGATGTTGTGTATGTATGTGTTGTATTGATGTGTGTGTATGTAAATGTGCGGGCGCGCACTCTCCAGAAACTTCACTCACTACCGACGAACTTCGATTGCACCGACCATCATCTGACACGCATCGATGGAATGAATTTGACCAGATACTGAAAAATAAATTGAAAAAAAACATTAATTCACTAAAATAAAAAACAAGCAATTGGAAAAAATAGGCAACTTATCTTTTTGAGATAACACTCAATCTTTGTTCAAATTCGAGTACTTTCAAAGGTACAATGAGACAAAAACAAATTTACCTTTAACATTATCTTCGAATTGTAATCGGAACGACCATCATGAGACCTCCATCTGAAACGTGCTGATGCCCACCACAGCCCACCTCTCATCATTCTGTAGACATTTTTTTAATAGCGTATTAGTAAATCAAGGAACAAAGGAACGATCGAATAAATGATTAACTGAATGATTGAATAATTGGTTGAATGAATGAGTGAATGAATGAATGAATTAATTAATAAATCAATAATTCAATTAATGAATAGAACGAATTAACAAATCAATTAATAGAAGAATAATTTAAAAGGTTGAGGGATAAAATGAACGAATGAGAAAAATAAAAAACGAAACTAAACCTTACTTCAAAAATCGTCGTTACTGTACTTTCCATTGCACCGACCACCACCATCTGGTCGGCACACAAAATACCATCCGAGCTTCAGAGTGTCAGTCGAACAGCCAACGAGCTGATTCTTCCTACACCACCATCATCATATGTAAATCATCATGAGACCACCATCTAAAACGTGCTGACTCCCACCACTGCCCACCTCTCATCATTCTGTAGACAATTTTTTTTATTTGCGTAGTAGTAAATGAATGTTAGAATTTTAGAAGCAAAAAAACTATAAAATAAAATAATGTCAAATAAATAATATTTTAAAATAATAAAAAAAGTAAAATGTAAAAAAACTTACCGTCGTTCATTCGACAAATGCAGAATGTTGAATGCGGTTCGGTTCCTACGTTGTCTTCCAAAACAGCCCGTGTTGAGGAAGAAAAATAAAGGAAAGATTCTCATCAGAAAGCTTAGCGGTGCCTGCATCTCAAATTGCTTAAAAAAAATAATCCTATCTACCTATTCAATTACCTTAACTAATCTATATTAAATTATTAATGGTACGATAGTCGAAAGTCCCCCTTCATTCTCCCTCCTTGCACAGAGGTTCACCGATAGCCAGGGCACCGGATAGTAAACCATTGCCGTGCGGATAGTAGACTATTGCCGTGCGGATAGTAAACCATTTGCCGTCCGGAAGCCGTGCGGGTAGTAGACTATGGCCATGCCGCATGGTAAATCATTACCGTGCAGATAGTAAACCATTGCCGTCCGGATAGTAAACCATTGCCGGTTCACCACTGGCCACCAAGGCTTACCTCTGACAAGAGACTTTGAAATCCAGAGTCAATCGGCTATCGTACCCTCAACTTACCTATTCATTACAATTAAGCCCTAGCTTAGCTAAAATTACAAAACTCAAGAGCCCAATTCATTTAGCCAATCGGCACCCACCCCACCACCTACGTAATGCCTTGGGCTCCAACTTAGTAATAATAATATAAAACTTAAACCCTATATCCATTAATGAGTATGTGTTACAACGTAGCCTTAACTTACCTATTCATTACATTACGGTCCTAGCTTACCTAAAATTACATAACTCAAGAGCCCAATTCATTTAGCCAATCGGCGCCCACCCCACCACCTACGTAATGCCTTGGGCTCCGACATAATAATAATAATATAAAACTTATAATAGCCTACCTATCGATACACTTACAGCGTTTTAATTTACATTACAAGATTTTTCCTAGAATTACATTATTGCCCTTAACTACCTATGAAATTAAATTACTCTCAACCTTAGTAATAATAAATTAGAATGTGTAATGAAAATAAAATTACGCTCAAATACTAACATATGTGTTTATGTATGTATTTGTGTGTGTATGTAATACGCTGAT